CTTCTTTACTGCGTTCTGGGAAGCTGGTGGCTACCCAGGCAGCGGCTTCTGTCACCGCACTGCTGGCTGTTGGCTTTCTCACCAGTGGCAGACAGCAGAGGAGAAAGGCAGCAGCCGGGCAGCAGCCTCAGCACCACAGCTGCTGCTCTGAGCGTGGAAGGGCGGCCATTAGCTCCTGCCCATCCCGGCTGAGATCAGGACCACCTGCAGAAACTTGGCTAATGAAGGAGAATGAAATAAACCCATTTGTCCTTCAGATGGGAGGGAGCCAGCAGAGGTTGTATGGCAGTTTCACAGCAAAAGCCAGTGTCTTGCTGTTGGTCTCCTTTCCCTGTACTTGAATCCCAAGCCAGGTTAGCTGTGGTTTAGTCTATTTGACTGGATCAGAAAGACATGCCTGTGAAGCCGTCCCAGCTGGGGAAGGAGATAGACAAGCATCTAAGAGCATTGCTCTAATAATTTGTTGGCAGTATGTGAAAGGTAAGCTCTCCTTTGCTCTGATATGCATGGTAAATGCCATGGATTGTGGCTGGGAGGAGGATATGAAACCTTTGTGGTATTGTGGTTTTGCTGAGGTTGAGTAACAAATCAAGGTATGATACTAGTTTTAGACCTGAGCTAATTATAGTTGTGCACACAATCCATATAGTGGACTGACTTTTGTAATGCAAAAGAAAGAACAGCTATGGAGGGCTTCCTAAAGGAGAAGCATCTTTTCCTGAAACAGAGGTAATGTTCTTTGTGTTTGGAAGTCCAGCCTAACCAGGGATTCAAGTGGGATAAAGGCACCAAAAGTGCTGCTGCGCTGAATTCTGTACATATGCTTAGGGAGTGAATGTACCGATATATATGCATGTGAAGGTGCTTTTTTCTCTCTTACATGTGTTCTTTGGTACCGATGTCAGATCTGCTGGGTTGGCCCTATTTCTGGTATAATATTGATTTCAGTGGGAATATTAGATGGAAAAATGTACATACTAGTCAGTCTATATGTTTTTTCTTTCCTCTTGAAAGCGTAAGTGGCTTTTCTTGGGAGTTGGTGCCTAGGTCACCTATTCTTTTTTTGGTTGTTGCTGCTGTGGCCAACTGTGAGTAACCTGAGAAGAGCAATTTTCTACCCGACACACCTTCACAGAATGGTTAGGGTTGGAAGGGACCTCTGGAGATCATCTAGTCCAACCCCCCGCCAGAGCAGGGTCACCTACAGCACGTTGCACAGGACAGCGTCCAGGCGGGTTTTGAATGTCTCCAGAGTGGGAGACTCCACCACCTCTCTGGGCAGCCTGTTCCAGTGCTCCACTACCCTCAAAGTAAAGAAGTTCCTTCTCATGTTAAGATGGAACTTCCTATGTTCCAGTTTATCCCCATTACCCCTCGTCCTATCACTGGGCGCCACTGAAAAAAGACTGCTCCCATCCCCCTGGCATCCTCCCGTTAAGTATTTGTAAGTATTAATAAGATCCCCCCTCAATCTTCTTTTCTCTAGACTAAAGAGACCGAAGTCCCTCAGCCTTTCCTCATAAGAAAGGTGCTCCAGTCCCCTAATCATCTTCGTAGCCCTTTGCTGGACCCTCTCCAGCAGTTCCCTGTCCTTCTTGAACTGGGGAGCCCAGAACTGGATGCAGTACTCCAGATGGGGCCTCACCAGGGCAGAGCAGAGGGGGAGGATGACCTCCCTCGACCTGCTGGCCACACTCTTCTTGATGCACCCCAGGATGCCATTCGCCTTCTTGGCCACCAGGGCACATTGCTGGCTCATGGTCATCCTGTTGTCCACCAGGACTCCCGGGTCCCTCTCCACAGAGCTGCTCTCCAGGAGGTCAGCCCCCAACCTGTACTGGTGCATGGGGTTATTCCTCCCCAGATGCAGCACCCTACACTTGCCCTTGTTGAATTTCATCAGGTTTCTCTCTGCCCAGGCTTCACACTGCCCAGGCTCCTGGTGCAGCTAAACCAGCGGATTATGCAGGCAGCAGCACGCCTGTGTGATACAAGGCACTGGATAAACAAGGGAAATCAAGCATAAGTGGTGGCTTTCAGGCCATAAGGGGTCCTTTATTCAGTTTGATCTGCCTCAAGCTGCTCCAGAGGCAGTCAATGGTAGAACTTAAATTTATTTATCCCCTTTTAGCAGCTCTTATGATCTCCCTTGGGGGAAGCTTTTCTTCCTGTAACCTTCCAGCATCACAGTCATGTTTGTAATTCCCAGAAAAGATGAGTAGCTGTTTCTGAAACTACATAGAAAGTTTGCGTAACGGAGGATCACCTTCGGAAACTGAACCAAAGAAACAGCCTGCCTGAGAAATAATTAATAGAGTACTAATAATTATTAAATCACTATGAAATAAAAAATTAATAACATAATAAAATATAAAATGAATAAATATAAACAAAAAAAGTAACTAAGCATGCAGAGATTCAACTGTTAATCCATGGAGCGTGGAGAGAGACCTGCCGAAGGTACTGGTTCTTGATACTACTTTAGATGCTACTAAGTCATAGTCTGGCCTTATAAGAAAAGCCATTGATGATGGTAATATCTGATCTACTGTGAAATATTTTATGGATGTAGAGAGGACTATGGCCTAAAGACTGTATAGCTTAATGAAGTTACATTAAACTATCTACACATTAGTAAACTATTTAAAGTTTATTTATAAAATAAGAATGTTATACTTGCTGAACAGAGAATGGTTCAAAGCTTAGCAAAATTGAACTAAACTAAGTTAAGCGAATCTGAATAAATCTTTATGCAGCCCTGCAGAGTACCAACCTTAGATCTGGGAAGAGGATATTTTGTGTTCTGATTCCAACACATCTGTCATAATGGGTGTAGAGTACACAATTCTGTTTCTACCAGCGACTGGTGACCAATAAAGCCAGCCCAAGGGCCAGAACGTTGCTAGCTATGGAGCTGTGCTTACAGAGTCCTGGGGCAACTGAGCTGTGATGATGGTCCTCTCCTCTAGCATTGCATTTCCCCCTTGAAAAACTGCTAAGCCACAGGTTTAACATGAGATTAAGCACTGAGAGAGAGCAAGAAAGGAGAAAGGGAGAGTGAGACTTCTTCCGTAGCTGTGATGTGCTCGGCCTAAATGGCTGATTTAGGTTTAGATCCCTTAATACATTACAGAGCTTCTGCCATTTGTCTGTCTTCTGGAAATCCCTTTCTGAAACAGCTCAATTCCTCTGCTCCCCATAAAGATCTTAAGTGTTCAAGCTTAATCTGAGCTTGAAAATTACATGAAGGTTTTTATTTCTAGGTGCTATTCTGAACCTTTGCAGCATTTACCATTTTCAGACCTGTAAAAATCACAGTTCCTTGTTTTATTGTGGAAATGATAACTTTTTGCAAAAACTAGCTGGCACGCTTCATAGCGAGCAGAGTAAAGACAGCCCTCTCTTCTAAAAGCAAAAGTTAAAGACTCTTCTAAGACAAAACAATAGGTGGACTCAGGAAACAGATTTTTATATGGACTGCTGCAATGGGCTACTGCACTTTGTGACTTTCATGGTTTTCTAGTGATTAATACCTCAGATTCTCACTAAACAGTTGCCATGGCAATGCTTTGAATATTCTTGTCTACCCTCTGTGCCTTTGTATGAAGGAAAAAAGGACGAATATTTGCTCAAAACAACTGCCTGTCACAGAACAACACGCCAATGGTGAGAGGCACTTAGATTGCTGTTCAGCTGCAACCTAGTGCCGTCTAACCGCAGGTCAGCAGAGATGTCCCCTCTGCTGTTATCTCCCAGCCATTCCTTAGCGCTGGTCCTGGCGCTTGTCTCATCCCGCACTGGGAATCCTCAGCGTGTGAGGTAACAGAAAGCTACTCCTTTATCTACGTGTTTGTTAGAGCCCCAGACAGACGTTTTGATCGGTATTGTCCTGAAACCAAATCATTCATCATGTAACTAATGAAAGCTTTTGTTAAGTGCCCTGCTTGTGTGAGCAATACAGAAATATAACGGGCTGATGATTGGCCACACTGTCTTCTAGAGTTATGACAGTAAACCCCTTCTCCCACCTAAATGTGAGAGCAGCTCACAGGGATGAGCGCACGTGTCTTGCAGGCACAATTTGAGAGTCATGAGACCTTGCGTGCGGTTAACGACATCTCTTCCTCCTCCTTCTCAGCTTCAGGGACACAGAGAAAAAGAGAGTAGACCTAAGTTGACCTCACGCAACCTCATGTGTTATGCCTGGGCCAACCATGCTTTCCTATTTCTGCTTAGAAGAAAATTAATATCATCTCAAATAGGCTTGAAATGTAGGCTATGATGAAAATGGTAGAGGCTCAAAAATATTGAGAAAATGAAGCTTCAGGCAAAATTAAAAGGTTTAAACTATGAAGACTATAATGAAAGTTCTCAGACAATTGAGTACATTGCAGCTTTGGACGAAAGGTTTGGAGAGACGCTTGGAAGTCACCAGAAATTCTGAAAGTTTAAAACAGGTTTCCATTTAACATCAGATTAAGTACCACAGTAATGTTTTAATTCTTTGGGTAGAGATTTTTGATGTTTCATATTGTCCAAATGAACTTTGGAAAAATGAGGAGAACACTTTCTACCGCAGATTCTCATTTGTTAATATCACTATACACGTTATAGAAGTACAGTTACAGGCACATGTTAAAGTGGCACAAAAGCAGGAGAGTCCTAAAAAGGAAGAAGAGGTTGCCTATATATCTCAAAGGAGACAGAGAAAAGTAATGAAAATAAAATTTTCTTGTTTGTCATAGGTAGTAGGGTAAAAAGAAAAAATGAATAACATTAATTTCATTATTCTCATTTTAAAAAAGGGAAGCTTGAGTGAAAAAATTACCCTGTTACAGGCTATGTCTCTTTTAAGGTTTTTAAGAATTAGCTAGATATGAGTATTTGTACAGTAAAAGTGCACATTATGTATTTCCAATTTATTTGAGGGAACACTTCAAAACATCTCTATCAATACGTTCCCACTCTAAATGGAAATTATTAGAGAACCTTTCCCTTCCTTAGGGCACCACGATAAAACTCAGCGTGGAAAGGCATTCTTCTGCAATTTTGATTGCAACAGGGCATTCCTTATGAATGCCACCTATTGAATGTTATCCATCAGAATCCAAATAAATCAGTTATAAACTTAAATTTCAAGATATGTTTCATCTATTAAGAATTGTATCGGAGAGCAGAAATTAAAACAGAGGATTAGAATGAAAGAGTTTTAGGGCTTTTTTTTTCCCCATGAGAAGATGGAAGCTATGCCTTCTTAGCCTTTGTTACATGTTTTTTTTTGAGGATTATTATGCTTGGGATTGTCTAGTTAATGAGATAAACTTTTAAAATTAAAAATAACTATATAAATTATGTTAAACCTCCCACACCTTTTTCAAATAATCCCAGAGATGATGAGCTAAACGTCGCAGTTCTACAAGGGCTTCAACTCCAAGAGGCCGGGTGTAGTTTGGACACCTGGCCATTGTGCATGAAGGATACTTCCAGGTTGTCGGCATTGCCCCCTTGCTGTAAGAACGTGGGTGGGAGAGCTGCCTTGGCACCCCTGTGTCCCGTCGCCTGACTGAGCCAGGCTGTGCTCAGTGCACAGCACACGGACCTTTGGATTTCAGCAGTGCTTCAGATCCCACAGCGTAGGTGTGGTCATGGTACCCACTGTGAAAATAAAACTCCTGACTGAATTGCGCCAGAGTTATTCCAACTATTATTTCTTAAGTTTACTGAAATAGACGTTTGGTTGGCCTTCAGGTAGTTTCGTTTCATTGTATTGGTTATTTAAGACTGCATTGTCATAGAATGTAAAATAGTTGGAGTTGGAAGGGACCTTGAAGCTCATCCAGTTCCTCCCCCTGCCCTGGGCAGGGCCACCTCCCCCCAGCCCAGGTTGCTCCAAGCCCCATCCAACCTGGCCTTGAACACCTCCAGGGATGGGGCAGCCACAGCTTCTCGGGGCAACCTGCCCCAGGGGCTCACCGCCCTCACAGTGAAAAATTTCTTTCTCCTGTCTCATCTAAATCTCCCCTCTTTCAGTTTAAAACCATTCCCCCTCATCCTATCTGTCCATTCCCTGTTCAAGAGTCCCTCCCCAGCTCTCCTGTAGGCCCCCTGCCCATTATCCTGCACAACACACCTGTACATCTTAATCTTCTTGTGAGTTCAGTGAGAATATTTAAAAAAAAAAACAACCCAAACAACTCTCAAAAATAACATTAAATCTTAAATGTCCTTCAAATTTTAATCACTAATATGCTTTCCTACCTGTATTGTAATGCTTGGTGCAGTAACATAAATCCTTTTCTTCTTTCAACAGAAACTGTGGTAGAGTGAGACCTTCTGCTACTTGAACTGCTCCCTTTTCTTGCCATTCAAAAATGAGATCATTCATTGTGTATCCAACTAAAAAAAAAAAAAACAACAAAAAACAAACAAGAAATGCATATAAACTCTAAGTCAGCTGCAAACTTTGAAAAGCAGAGGCGTACCAAACAGTGATGACTTAATTAAATGTCATAAAAAGGAGACAATACAGGGGGTCTGCTTGTATCTGTTAATCACAAAGTGTTATCTGCCCTTCTCTAACATACTGAACTAGGAAAAAAAAAAAAGCCAGTCATTTGCATCCTTTCTGTAATCTTAGTAGTTAAGTAGTTTATTAATGGAATTGGCAAAAGCATCAAAATGAACAAAATGTCCAATTCTCTGGGGCTTGGGAAAATCTTATCCTCCCCGGCCCATGAGGGATAAAATAGGCCCTTCACACTCAGATCTCTTTCTCCTTTTATTTGAGGTGAAATGGTGGAGTGTCAAAGCTGTGTTTATGGATTTATGGCAGTTTGAATTGTTAGGTGCAAATTCTTCAAAGAGAAAAATGAATGAAAATTTCTGCAGGAGAGAGGTATTAGTTGAATTGAGAAAATACTTTTCTGTGAAACTGGTACAGAACAAGGGAAAACAATTTGATTGTAATCTTCTCCTATTGGCTGACTGTGACGTATTACGATATTAAAAGGCGTTCAGTTTTAATATTCAGATTCCTGCACTTACCCATATTTCATGCATGTGTGAATAAGAGTAAATAAAACAGCAAAAGCTGTAGTAGAGGTATTAACTGAGGGCCAAACTTTGTAAAGGGCAAGTACTTTTTCCTTTTATTTTCTCCTCTCAGCTGAATATTTGTATGGGAGATCATTGGGGAAAATAGCTCTACTTCCTCTGAATATGAAATATATTAATTCTCCAATATATGCCTGGCATTTTATTCTAAATTTTTTCTAAATAAATTTTATCTGGTTATGACAACTAAAAAAGAAAAAAAGGGCTTCCTATTCTCATTCAGGTTTCATTAGGGCTTTCTCAGAACGTAATATACATGGACGAAATTAGATTTTAAGATTGAAATCTAAAACTAGATAGCTTCTATCATTGTAATAGTTGGAACAACAAAGGTACACCTGAGCCACATATTATAGCTTGAACCAGAAGGTAAAAGGTGTAATTTTTATATCTAAATTATAGCTTTCATGCATCTATTTTGCTCCTTGGCAATATTCTCTTTCTGCTTTAGTCCAATGCTAATGAGCTGCTGAGGATAACCTACTGATAACTGGAAATACCTTTTAACCTTTCAGTAACAGATTACTGTTCAAAATATATCATTCAGAACTTTAAGAGTATACGCCTGCCCACAAATACTGAAATTTTGAGTGCCAATGAAGGAAATAACCTCTTTGGTGTGTGGGCATAAATCTTTCCTGTTATATTTGGTGACCTCATTACTCTCTGAATACATCTATATATGCTGTTCAGTCATAAAGCCCTGATAGGCTGACCTCAAATCTGAGACACACTTCATCCTTTCTCATCCGTCTGCGTTGAATGCACTTATAAGCTAAGAATCCGGGCTTATAAATTTAAAACTGTTTTCAACATCTCTCCTTGCTTCTAGATGCTCGATGTTTCTTTGGGGGAGTACCTTACACAAGGTATTCACAGCCACTCTGGCTGGCTGTTGGTTTACTTTGGTGTTTTGTTGGGGTTGGATGAATATGCTAAAAATAAGACCATACCCTTTTAAATAAGTATTTAATTCAGATCAGACATTTCTCAAGTCATTACAAGCATATACGCACTGTACAAGGAAACACTTATTTTTCTGTCTTATTGAACTCATGACATTCCACAAACATGTTCTTAAAATTCACTATTAAATGCCATAAACTATGAAAAATCAAAAATATAGCTCTTACCAAACTTTGCATGAATTCAGAGAAAAAGCGGTTGCGTGTAAAGCAGATTATCATTTGAAGCATGTAGATTATGGCCAGAAGTGATATCCCCTGAGTAAAACTCATTGAACTGACAAGAAACAACTGCTGTGTCAAAATGTATTTCACTAAACCAGGTTCATTCATCTCTAATGCATGCTTTTAATTTTGATTATCTACCTTGCCCACTAATTCTTCTATCGTGCAATCTATTAAAAAAAAAAGCAGTGTATGCAAAACGCTGATGTAGTAATTAATTTTTGTCATGTCTATGTTTTAAATACCTAAATAGAGCTTTAACATTCAAGACCGTAACTTCAGGTTTTGTAACTATGTAAGTCAAGATCATAGTTATAAAGTAAATGTCTTAAAATATAGCAGATCTTAACGGAGATGTGAGTTTATGTCATACCAAATAAATTTGAAATAGTATAATATATATCGTATTTCTGCTAGGTATGTTAAATTAAATCTCTGTTTAATTTATGGTTCTTTGTGAAATACACAATACATGGCCCAATCAAATGTGCCCATTGAATTAGGGAAATCTAAAACCTCGTAATAGTCGTGTAATTGGGGAAGTGAGAAAACGTAAATTATTTAAGCCTATTGAACTGTTTGGTAACACAAATTTGTCTCTAAATTTTCTTTAGCGAGCGATGTTAACAACGACAGGTGTATATTTTCCAAATGGCCAATGTGATAAAATACCTGAGCAGCTGTATCCCGTGGCACGGTTAGTGCTGCGCTAATGAAGCGATTGAGAATGGTTATATGATCAGATCACCTCGGCAAACTGCGGGCTTGACATGTGAAGCCTTCATTCTGATGCGTGCTTACCAGTACAAACTTGCTCTGTGAGTGTTATATTGTTAAACATGTGTTCTGCACCGTGTAAGAACTGCACTGAAATATGTAGTAGTTATAAAGAATGAGACATTTGTCTTTAGGGATTCTAATGGGTAAGGAAGATACTGGTGTCTCTATTGTGCTATTAGGTCCATAAATACTGAATCCACAGAAACTAGCTGGCAGGAGAGCTGGCACAATCTAGAGCCCAGAGTTTGAGGAAATAGAGGAACCAACTCACAGCAATGTCCTAGAATGAGGAATCGCATCCCTTGCAGTTTTTCAGGTTCAGATTCTCACCTCTAGAAGCCCTGTCTGCCCAAAGATACCTGTTTCTAGACTCTCCTCCTTACATTTGCAATGCCACAGAACCCCGTGCCAAATGTTAATGCAGTGGTGAGTTTCGCAGTTTGTTTACGTTTTTTTTAGAGTTGCAAAAATAGCAAAGGCAATACTTAATCACATTTCCTACACCTCTAACATTTCTATCAGGAGGGCACTGTATTTTGTAGAGGGAAATAACTTCAGTGGGCTCCTAATGAACTCCGAGAGTATAGAAAGAGATGACCCAAAGCTAAACCAGAAGTGTGTTTTTATCAATTACCCATAACTTTAAATGTTTGTTAACTCTATTTATAGATGTTAACTCTATTTATAGATGTTTGGAGCTTATTCTGTAGGAGGTAAACTGACTTCTTCTTGGGATAAGGCTTGAGTGTAAGATGCCTTCTCTCTGTGCCTTGCTTTCATTGCATTCAGTTTTCCATAGGAAATGTGGTGTGCATCTCTAAAGGGAGTCCCTGTCTATGTGTCTGGAAAAAAACCCCAACCCTGGGAATCTATTTCTGAGCGCACCTTTCCTTCAGAGTAAACTTTCGCTATGTAGTGTTTATTCTTATTTGTAAATTCTTGCTGTTCACTCTTACTCTGTTATCTCTCTTGCTGCTGCTTTGTGAGCGGAACATAAATATATCTTAAATATTTGCGTTTGCGGCGGCCCAATATGATATCAGTCTCTCACTAGAAAGGAATAATTTATTTTTTGACTATGCAGTGGGTTTGGCGACTTATAAATTGCTGCCAGATACTTTTATTACTGGTGATTGGGAAATACAGTGTTATGGAGGAAAGTCCTAGTGGCTGCATTTTAGTGTTGATAAAAGAAGAGTCGGTCACTGGCCTAGTTAGTACACGAGGGTGCAGCTCACTTTTTCATTGATGGTGGAAGAAGGGACCCTTTTATACTGCCGAAGTAGCTGAGAACAATGGAGACTATCATCTATATAGTGGTCTGCAGGACCAGGGCAAACTAAAATCAGGTGGACTAGTAAGGACCTCTGTCGCTGAAATGCAGTGTGCTGGGGTTTGGGTTTGCAGGGTGTAAATGCATGAAGGTTGAGAAAGGAAGTAAAGATGCCAAATTTCGTGTGTTAGGGGATGCAAACCAGCTGCTGCGGCTGAAGTAGAGGGCAGTTTGCAATGTATTTGTTGTTGTCTGGCTACTGTCCAGGTGTTTGCTCTTACTTAATGCTATAAAGATATTACTAATCACACAAAATCTAAGTGGTGTCATCATAGAACTCGGAAGAAAGGACAGAAAAAACACATTATTACGTTGAACAGCGGTGTTCAGAAGTTACAGAACTGATTAGGTTGCATTAATGCTGCCTCTATTAACCCAAAGTCTGAGGTCTTGCACATCTGTGACGCAAAAGCAGACGATAAATTGTTGGTAATTATACGATGAGGCTATTATCCCAGGAGGAGAAGGTTGCCAGAGGGAGTATTTCGCAGGAAAACTCAAGAACTGTGTGCATGCGTGGCACTGTAGCCTCTCGGGAAACAGCTCTCTTTAAAGAAAGAACTCGTTTTTAGGAGCCCAAAGTCTTTCCAGGTAATTAGCTAACGAAACATGTACTGGCAGACTGAGACCTCCACCCGAGATGGATATGAAGAACTGGCAAAGCAAGTAGAATTTAGAAATAACTGGCGGTGTGGAGGGGCTGAAACAATCGGGGAAGTTGGATTTGGCCTGCAGAAGTTTTGGTGTGGGTTTTTTTGGTTGTTTGGGGTTTTTTTGGGGTTTTTTTTGTGTTTTTTTTTTTTTGTTGTGGTGGTTTGTTTTTTTTTTTGTTTTAGAAAATGGTCTGTCACAGAGCTGGTGAGGTGTGAAAAAATAAGAGTAAAACTCTGTGTAGTTACACTTACAGAGAGAAAAGGTGGAAAAGATAAGGCATTGGATGAAGAGCGTTTGTCAGGACTTGTGCCTGGAACAGCTGATGC